GAGAGAGAGAGAGAGAGAGAGAGAGAGAGAGAGAGAGAGAGAGAGAGAGAGAGAGAGAGAGAGAGGAACATTTTTTCATTCATTGATTATGTGGTGGAGGGTTGGGTGTTCCATCATCCATTCTATGAAATGTCTTGCACTTTAGTTTGTGTGGGAACAAGTCTGGTGTCATGGGGGCAGCTGTGTTTCTGAGCAGTGTGGTAATCTGGGGTATATGCTTGTGGGGTGGATGTTTTGTCAGAGTCTGGATGCATTGTCGATGTTGACGACTGCGCAGTCAGGTACTCTGGGCCCCCGAATATGCCGGTGCCGCAGGAGGTGTGCGTCCTCTTGACTCATTGGACAAGATGTCTGCCGGGCTTTGTCTTTGTCCTGCATTTAGTTCGCGAAGTTGGACTGTGTGTCATCTGGAAGCGGAGGGGACTGGCGACATGTTGTTTGACTCACAGAGTTGCGCTCTTGGAATTGTAGGAGCCGGGTTGGTGGCATTGGGTCCTCGACGCTCCACTCCCCGAATGACAAATGTGAGAAAGACAGAAATACATCGGGTGCATGTCCACATTTTAGCGGAAAACGCATTCTCATTTTGCTCATTTGGTGAGTGGTGCGGCGAGGCCCATCATTGCAATTCTTGTTCTGATCAGTCTGGTAAACATGGTGGCTATGGCATCTGAACCTTGATGCACTGCCGATTGTGGCTCGCCCACAGGGTTGGAGGGCGCACTTTCATGCTGGGCTGGGGTGAAGCATTCTGCAAGGAGCGTCACTGTGACCCCAATTCACTTGTAGCCCATGGGTTAAGATGTACCGGCTAGCAAGTGGACGTTAGTGGGATGCGGTCGGGCCACTCTGCTTAGGCTGTTGGTGGTGACATTCGGTGGGTGCCCCAGTGGGTGGGGCGAGTAGGTTAGGTTTCACTGGGGTGGGGTAAAGTCACTGGCAAGGGTGGGGTAAAGCCGTCTGCAGGGGACTTTCGCCTGAGTCCTCTGGTTGGGGGAATAGGTTGTACTGGGGTGGGGTAAAGTCGTCAGCAAGGGCGGGGTAATGTTGTCGGCAGGGCACTTTCGCCTGACGGGGAGTAGGTTGTACTGGGGCGGGGTAAAGTCATCGGCAAGGGTGGGGTAAAGCCGTCTGCAGGGAACTTTCGCCTGAGCCCATGGCCCGGGGAAGTAGGTTGTACTAGGGTGGGGTAAAGTCGTCAGCAAGGGTGGGGTAAAGCCGTCTGCAGGGAGCTTTTCCCTGAGTCCAGTCAGCTTATTGTTGAAAATGTTGGCATGCCAGGTCGTGCGGTGAGATGCTCTGCAAGGCTGCGTGCATGATCCACAGAATTGGATTTTGGATGGCTGTGATTGAAGGATGAAATTGTGCACCCCCAGGCCCAGTTCAGTTCATACACCTGTGAATTGTTGAAATACAGACCTGAGTTCGAATCCAGATGGAGCCAGATAAATGAAATCCAATGTTTCTGAATTATCTGGGGCCGGTCAGTTCCACGATGAATGAAATCAGATATTTCCGAACTATGCGGGAGGCGGGTCAGTACCACGATGATATCTCAACTTCCCAAGGCTGTCACCTTTTTCACTTGTGGGTTCGGTGCTTTACTTATTCTACACTAGGCTACCAGAGTGGCCCAGGGTCACTTGCCCGGCCGGGCCAAAAAACATTAAAAAAATAAAATTTAAATTTAAAAATTATTTCTAACTTTTATTATTTATTCTAAATTTCGTGAAGATTTTTTTTTTTTTTTTTTAAATTTATTTATTTAAACCGAGGCGGTGCTAGAGGTGCTGGTATGAGCAGACACCGCTAGCACCCCCAGGACGGCTCCATCTATTTGTGGGGAGCAGCACCTGCCGGGTCCAGCGTCCCTTACATTGTGGTAAAAAGAAGATGAGTTGTGAGATAGCTGCAGTGATTCCTGCGCTGAGAAAACGGGTCCAGCGTCCCATTACCATACCTCCTCTGTTTTTTTACTACTAGGACCCCCAGTCAGGGTCCAAAAAGGGGGCGCTGGGGGGCACCAGCAGTCCCTGCCTGTTTCCCCTGACCGTCCTCCAGGCAACCTCGCCTTGCTACTCACCGAGAATTCCTATACTTCGATCATACACTCCTGGCTGCCAGCATTGACTACCCCAGTGATCGGGGGGTTGACTGTGCAGCTGAGGACAAGGAGAACAGAGGAAAGAAAAAGGGAGAAAAGAAAGAAGAGAAAAAAAAGGAAAAGAAGAGAGAAAAAGAAAGAAAAAAAAGGAAAAGGAAAAGGAGAGAAAAAAGAAAGGAAAAAAAGGAGTAGAGGGAAGAAAAGGAGAAAAAGGAAAAGGGTGACAAAAGAAGAAAAAAAAGACAAAAAAAAACAGGGGAGAAGGAAACAGAATGTTGTCAGTCTGTTATGGTCTCTGCTAAGGAAAGCGGGTGTGGCGGGAAAGGGTCCGGGAAATCGGATGGGGGGCGCATCGGGAAGGCGGGTTCTATACTTGTCCAATCATTGAGGACCAGGTGGTAGTCCCTGCATTCTGCTAGTTCCCCTGGCTGCCCATCCTCGCCTCCCCAATCTACTTTTGCTATCCATCCTCCTTTCTCTCCTCCTAACCAATCTTTGCAGGAGGAGGAGATTGTGTGTTGGATGTCTCTGTTTGTTCGTAGGAGGTCCAATTGAGATTTCTGCAGCTGCCATCTTCTCAGAATTTCCATATTTAGTTGCTGTTGGATTTGTTCGGTTACCTCCGGCCCTTCTAATCGCACTTCTTCTATCACCAGGACGCACCTTTGCCGCCAAAGTCCCCATAGAAAATGGAAGAAGTGCGATTAGAAGGGCCGGAGATCTCCTGCCCAGTCTGAACATGTTTACTACAAAATCGGGTGCCTCCTGGATCTGTCGCCAATACCCTGTGAGGATAGCCCGCCATGACCATGGCCATGGTGGGTCTGGGATCATCATTTTCCTCGATATCCTGTCCCACCAGCGCCATGTTAACTGTGCCGTGGGGCATTGCACGAACACAACACATGTTCGATAGTTTCTACTCTTTACCTTGAGGGGAATGCCTGCAGGCATCTCGGGCACCAGGGTAGTGCTCCTGTCCTTTTTGCTCCAGGTTTGTGTGATCGATTAGCCAATTCATGGTCGGGAGGCAGCGGTGGGCGATTTGCCACTGTAGCGAGGTGACTTTTGCCGGCTTTGCTTTTCCTTCTTGAAACCAGGGGATTGGTGTGATGACCCTGAGGCAAAAGTTGTTCAGTTTATTTTTCCGCATAACGTTGTTTTTTTTCCGTTTTTTTTTTTTTTT